GAGATACACTCCACTAAGTGGCTGATGTCTCCTCTATTCCCTCATTACCCTATCTTCTAGATTACCAATTACAGTTCCCTTGCCCCTGTGGTGTAACACACGAATAGTGTGCGTCAGGCCACATGGCTCCTTTGAAGCATTTGGGGTAGATATTCCACTCAACAGTGCCTGGCAGTATGTGGTATCAGCTGTGGACAAGCAAAATATTCATGTCGTCTCCACAACCGCTGGAGATGGTTTCCTAACCACTGGAGATGGTTTCCTAACCACTGGAGATGCTCCCTCTTCAGGATGACCTCTGAGCACAGGAAAATTGCCGGCTTCCACCACAGAAGCCAGATATACAACACAGGGGGCTGTATTATCCAGAACTGCCATAACGGTGTCCGACACACGAGGTGATTAGACAACAGATATTTACTTCCACACAAATCTGGAGTCTAGAAATTGGACATAAGGTATCAGCAGGGTCAGTTTCTGCTGAGGCCTCTCTCCTTGGCTTAGAGATGGGGATTTCTTGGTCTTCAAACGGTCATCATTCTGTACCACTATTCTCAGCTCCTTTTTTTCTAAGGACACAAGTCATACTAAGAGTACTAAGACTCCATCCTAATAACCTCATTCTCATTAAACTTCAACTTCATTCTCATGAAACCTGCTATGTCTAACTACAGTCACATTCTGACATACTGGGGGTCACAACTTAAACATAGGAATTTGGGGTACACGATTCAGCCCACAACAAAGGTGTTGGGTCACAATGCAAATTCACATCCAAGCTGCACAGTATGTGTCGTAGTTATTTTTTTATTTACAATCATCCAAGACACAGTAAGTTTGGGATGCAATGAAATCTGTTCACTTCTTCATGCCGGCAGACGCCAATTCTGCTCTCAAACAACCCCTTTGAGTGAATACAACACATAAGGTTAAAGGTAACTAAACAAAAAAGGCATTTATTAATGCATAAACCAGAGCAAAACAGGGCACCAAATTCCTGTGCTGGTGACTTGGGTGCTGCACACATTGATCACAAACATCAGGAGACCAACAACGTCCTAAGAGACTCAGCCTCTCTGCAAGACACCACCCGAAACTCAGTTCAGGTAGGATGGTCAACACTGGGTCACATCCACGTCCAGACTTAGAAGGGAACAAGGAGTTCCAATTACCCACAATGTCCGTCGCCAATGACAAAGCGCAGAGGTCAGCATGCTTGAGCACGGTGGGTGGTGGCTGATACACATGATGGGAACCTGGCAAGTGGCAGGGGTGAAGTGACTTTTGCTACAGAAACTGGCAGTGATCTCAATTGAGCAATGACTCCAAACACAGCAAAAGCACAACGCAGCTTCTGTATTTTTCTGAAATAGCTTCAAATTATGGTAAGTCACTCCCCTCTGGACATTCAGGTGAACAAAGTTCAACTCAGGTAGGTGTCTGCCTCGCAAACGGTTCTCCTCCACTGTGATTACACGAAGCAAGGAAAGATCACCTTCTCTGCTACTCTGAAGTCTTTCTGCAGTGTGACCTCTGAGCGTGGAATGAAGACAGATCACTGGACTAAAGGAATGGTCATGTACCTCACCCATGAGGCCCTGCTCCAAGGTGAATTCGGATTTCAAAACTCTATCTTTGGTCAAAAGATTACCCATATTCTTCACATTTGTCTCAGCTCAGGCTGCTCTAACAAAGTATCACAAAGGAGGGGGCTTGTAAACAAACAAGAAGTTTCCCAGTTGTGGAGGCTGTATATCTGACCTACCATTCCGCATATGGCCTGGTTCTGTGACTGGTGCACCAGCATCCTGATTTGTAGATCATCTTCTCAAGGGTCCTCACATGACTGATAGGGGAAGGAAACTTGCTTTAGAGATATTATGATATTAACCCCACTCATGAGTGTTCCACACTCCTGACCATTCTCAACTGAAATACCTCCCAAAGATATCACCTGTTAATACTATCCCATCAGAATGGGTATTCAACATAGAAATTTTAGTGAACATGAGCATTCAGGTCATCATGTCACCAATAAAGACATTTTCTACCGTGTAGTTTCTCATGGTGAGTAAGTGTGGAGATTTAGCTGAAAGATTTTCCAGATTCAGAGCACTCCTAAGGCCTTTCTCCTGTGTGCACTCTTGCGGTGATAAATAAGAGCTGGATGACTGATAAAAGCCTTCCCACATTCACTGCACTCATAAGGCCTTTCTCCTGTGTGAATTCTCTGGTGTTTTATGAATGTCGATCTATACTTCAATGATTTCCCACATTCATTACACTTATAAGGCCGTTCAGCTGAGTGAACCTTTATGTGTGCATTGAGCGTAGTTTTTCGGGGAAAGGACTTGCCACATTCACTGCATTCATAAGGCTTTTCTTCAGTATGAACAATCTGGTGAGAACGGAGAAGAGAACGAGCAGTGAAAGCCTTCCCACATTCACTGCACTCGTAAGGCTTTTCTCCAGTGTGAATTCTCTGGTGTGACATGAAGGAAGAATTAGAAGTAAAAGATTTCCCACACTGACTACACTCATAAGGACTTCTTTCAAGGTGACAGTGACGATGAATCCGTAGGGCACGACTATGACTAAAAGACATTCCACATTCATTGCATAGGTAAGGCTTTTCTCCGGTGTGAATTCTCTGGTGTTGAATGAATGTCGACTTATAGTTCAGAGATTTCCCACATTCATTACATTTATAAGGCCTTTCACCTGAGTGAAGTTTTATGTGTACATTGAGGCTATTTCTTCGGAGAAAGGATTTGCCACATTCACTGCATTTATAAGGCCTTTCTCCAGTGTGAAGTCTCTGGTGACACTGGAGATCAGACCCAGAGAAAAAAGATTTGCCACATTCACTGCACTCGTAAGGCCTCTCTGTAGTGTGAACTCTCTGGTGATAACGGAGGGCAGAGGTGGCAGTAAATGATTTCCCACATTTACTGCACTCATAAGGCCTTTCTCCAGTGTGAACTCTCCGGTGTTCATGGAGGACAGAACTAGTGGTAAAAGATTTCCCACATTCACTGCACTCATAAGGCCTTTCTCCAGTGTGAACTCTCTGATGACACTGAAGGGCAGAACTAGTGGTAAAAGATTTGCCACATTCACTACACTCATAAGGCTTCTCTCCAGTGTGAACTCTCTGGTGATAGTGGAGGGCAGAACTAGCAGTAAAAGATTTGCCGCATTCACTGCATTCATAAGGCCTCTCTCCAGTGTGAACTCTCTGGTGATTATGGAGGACAAAACTAGTGGTAAAAGATTTCCCACATTCCCTACATTCATATGGCCTTTCCCCAGTGTGAATTCTCTGGTGAGAACGAAGGACAGAACTTGTACTAAATGATTTTCCACAATCACTGCATTCATAAGGTCTTTCTCCTGTGTGAACTCTCTGGTGTTTAATGAATGTCGCCTTACACTTAAAAGATTTCCCACATTCATTACACTTATAAGGCCTTTCACTTGAGTGAATCTTTATGTGTGCATTGAGGACGTTTCTTCGGAGAAAGGACTTGCCACATACATTGCACTGATAAGGCTTTTCTGTACTGTGACCTCTGTGATGATAATGGAGGTCAGAAGTAGAGAAAAAAGATTTGCCACATTCATGGCACTTATAAGGCCTTTCTCTAGTGTGAACCCTGCGATGATAACGGAGGCCAGTACTGGAGATATAAGACTTCCCACATTCCATGCACTGATAAGGTTTTTCCCCTCGGTGAGTTCTCTGATGATAACTGAGAATAGACATAGAGGTAAAACATTTTCCACAGTCACCACACTTATAAGGCCTTTTTCTAGGTTGAACCCTGTGACTAATTAAAACTGAACTATGGCTAAAAGATTTTGAACATCCACTGCAAACATAAACATTTTCTCCACTGTGCCCTCTCTGGGGATGAATAAGCACAGATTTGTGGCTTATGGATTTCCCACATTTGCTGCAGGTGTACTGCCTGGACCCAGTGTGAGCCCTTCCATTTTGACTAAGGACAGACCTTTGCCTAATGGATTTTCTACCTTTGCCAAACTCCTGATGTCCTTCTGCAGTATGGAATCTCTGGTGGATAGTCAATAAAGATTTGTACCTGAATGTTTTCCCACATTCACTGCACACAAAACA